GTAATTAAATGGAATTATTTAGTGTTATGAAAGGATGCGGTAATAGGAGCAACAGCCACGATACCGTCCAACTCGGTTATGCTACCCTCTTCTTTGATACCCTTGAGTATATGGAAAGGAACCAGGGTGGTTTGTGGAAGAGATGGAAACGGAGAGGGGGAAGGTGAGACGGCGGCATTAGCGAGCGTAGGATAAAGAGGGAAAGCGACAAAGGTTGGGTGAGCCTCTGTACTCGGGAAGAAAGAGGAGGAAGCGAGGCGAGAGAAGGGAAACGGTGCACGCCGTAAGGGTCGACCGCAATGAATAGTTCATTTCTCTTTGAAACTTTGTTGGAGTGCACGGTGATGATTAGCGGAGACGACGGTGAAATTTGCCAAGTGACCGAGAAGGGCAAGACGCGAGAGTAATTCGCAAACTGGCCTTGAAAATCGGGTAAATACCGCCGAGTTGACGCTCGCTGAGACGTCCTTAATATTCAGAACTCAGAGGCTGAAGAAATTTCACCGAGCGGTTGATCCTTCGAGCGTTGTGTTGGTGCTCGTGCTTGTAGTCGTGCACGTTGCATTAGACGCGCCTCGTATTTGCATACGTTAAATCACATTGACATGGTTTCTCGTTTTAAAGGGATACCGGTACGGTGTAACTTGTATATTTGGAGGCTTATATATTTTGTACAAAAAGGGATAAAATTATATTTTACATCGAAATGCGAGATTTTTACATCGAATATTTAAACTTTGTTTCTTTAACATCAAAGTTAAATGAAATATTTAGTTCATAAGTTGAGAATGTACAACACGAGGTTATCGTACAAGTTCAAAAGCATTGAACTTGCAGAGGATGATAGGTACATAGTCTAGACTAACAATGTTAAATGTATTTCTTGAAAATTCCTGGAACGTTGAATAGCGTCAAGGCTTCAAACAATCGACGTCTGAAAATGAAAAATTCATAGCGAACATGGCATGGAATCTTCTTCGGCGTATTCTTTCTTTTCGTCGCCGTTCTCTAAATGTACGTACTTCGTTGTGGACATTGCTGAAATACCACCGTTGTCCTGAATGTCCGCATTCGTCGACAATTTCTTGAAAGCGACTGGCTGCCACTCACATAGAATGTGTAAGATATATTTCTATGATTTCTTGTTTTGAATCGTATGCCTTTTTGATTCTCTATCGCGTATTATACTCAAACATGTTATTACAGTATTATCGATATTGATGAATGGACTCGGTAAATGGGAAGAAAAACATGTGATATAACGGCGAAACTTTGTTTCTTCGTAATAATTTACAAGCTTTTTACTTCTTCGTACATTCTTATTTTCATACCTTTATATATATTCTTATCGAAAAAAATATACCACTGGTTGTTTAACTAAACTGTATGATACGCAAATAGATATATAATATTAAAATAATTTTTCGAATCGCAAATACACTTTACATATGCTTAACAAATGCTTGTTAATTCAGGCTACCTTTAATATTATAGATTGCAGAGCATCCATATATGTTGCAAGCAGTTCTTCTATACTTAATCATTAGTATTTTATTCGTTCGCTTGTCGAGAACGATATATTTTTCTTGAATTATCTTTTATAATGACGCATTGTCAGAAATTACTAGCGTCTTATAATTTGAAAGTTACTATCTTTTATAAACCATTCGAAGCGAAATACAAATTCATATGCAATTCTTTCTCATCCGATTATGAAATCGAAGTTTTTCGACGATAGTCTTAACATACTTCAAGGATATACAAATTTACACGAGTATACTTTTTTCACGTAAAATGTTTCATTGCCTTGAAAAGTTTAAAAAGTGAAATGGCTCAAACAACGATTCTTATGAAATTACATTTATTGGCATATTTAGGTCAATTGATAATCAATTAATTAATATCACTATCGGAAATGTTAGGTTCCAGTTAATTAATAAAGCGCTTGTTTCTCAAATTAACTACCGACTAAACAAACACTGGACCTTTCCCTTTATTCGCTTTTTCTGTTCTTTTATATATTCGTCACAGCGTATAGTATGTTTGAAAGCGCAGTGTCGACACATGGAACATGTGTGATAAACGTCACGTCATCTACGTGCCTCTTTATCAGGTCCCTATTTTATATCATCTGCACCAGTGCTACATTACCAATAGTATCTTCTGCATTGGTCAGCCAATATCTGGCATATTGGTGGATACTGATATTTCTGCTTTCCTAACTTACTCTCATGCGAAAATTTTAAATGAGCATCGTAATCTTTGGTTAGAAAAAAGTGCAGCATTAAGGAAGAAAACGATTTATATATGAAAAATATGAAACAAAAGTAATATTGGAATAAGATCGAAACGTAGATAGATCGATATGCTTTCTGGCGTTCGCGTATGCTTATTCGTGGACCTCTGTTCTGCTCGCTCGTTTAACGGGGTGAAGTATCTCGAAAATAATAAAACTCCATATTTCACCGAAACTCCCATCGCTGAAGCAGCTATGCAAATTTCAAGAGGGACCTCACCCCTACTCGTGATCGTAAGAGCGCGCAGATCTGCCACTGACGTTTTTAATTATTCAATAAAAACTTGAACGTCAGTATAGGTAACTATAGGTGAGATGCTCGTAGCTACATTATGTCATCTTCTGATATTTGCTTTGTCGATCGATCTGACGCAAATCAATAATAAATAAAAATTCATTTTATGGCTTTGCGTTATAAATATTTTATCGTAGCTTAAAATGTATTATGATGCTAGGCAGGGATAAAATCTTTGAAAAAAATATTGCTTGACGATTAGATTACAAATTAAAATATTCGTGACCAATATTTAATACTCACTTTTTATTTAATAATTACTTGTTCAATTTGTATTATTTTATTATACCGAAGAAAATTTTCTTTTCTGAAAAATCATCTATGTTTTAACAAACTCTGTTGTATGATCGTCGAATAAGAATTATTGAATAATTTTAACACCACTTCTAGATCACACGAGTTTAAGTTCTGCTACTTTTATCAGTATAGTATCGCGGACAGATCGCCTAAGAAATAACGGGTGAACTGTAAACAATGTTGCGAGAAAACCTAAATGCCGACAGGCCGAAAGGGTCGGGAAACTTCAATGGACCAAGCGACCCATCAATGCGTCGTCAGTCCTTCACTCGAATAGTTATGCAGGAGAAGGCTTACGTGGCCATAATCGCGGACGGTTACGGAACGCGTACGTGATGGAGGTATGAGAAGACGACAAAGGGATGCTTAAGGGAGAAAGACGAATTAATCGGCAGTCGTTAATTGAGAGTCGAGTTATGAGGAGTCGTTAATTGAGAGTCGAGTTGTGAGGAGTTAGTTGCGAGTCGGGGGAGCACGAGGCGGGTGTGGGCTCCCAGGGCG